GGTTAGAGGGGTGACAAAAAATGTTAACTTTGTGATATTTGCTGGAACGGTCTCTAGCGTTACATCCAAAATTGTAGGTTCTGGGACTGGGCTGAACAACTCTTTTATTAAACTGTTGCTTGACATTGGCAAGTTCTACCCTTCGCTTCTGATATTTCCAAACTATATTGAAATAATGCAAGTAAAAAATAGTGACAACTTATAAGCCACACATTATCCAATAACGTGACAAAACGTGGATGCAAAACAATACCAATAATTACAATAACCACCACGGTGATTACTTTTTAACAACGAGTTTAAGGATTAACACTGAAAATGCAAAATATGCATGGTGTGCTGTGAAGCGTCATAAGTCCTATTGATCTACTGTAACTGTGTAAGCCCTTTCGATACATGTAATTGTAAATTTGTATTCTTACATGCAGGGCTTGAAATCATAAACGTTCCCAAAGTTCACGATCATGGTGATCGGCAGTCAACCGAAACCCTGCTTTTCCGCCGATCATAAGCAATTCCTTGCCGATCGGTGATCGGTTGTTATTTCAAGCTCTGTCTTAACAATTTGAATTGATACTGATTTCAAATGATTAAAGCCATGTAATAATTATCCCATGCATGCAACTGTTAGGAAGGGCGAAATATTGAACGAAGGACGAAAATCCTAAAGAAAAGGTGAAGTTTTGGAGGGGGCGAATTTCCTAAAGGGGGGCAAAATTCCTAGGAATTTCGCCCCCCGGGGGGCGAAAATGTAGGGGGGGGGGCGAAAATCCTGGCACACCGGAATTCCGGCCGGATTTAACGAATTTTCCGGCATCCGGCGGGATTTGGAGAAAATCCGGCCGGATTTAAATTTCTGTTTTCACCTTAAAAAATTCACCAAGAATGGGATAAACCATCAATTTGGTAGCTTTAAAGTTTAAAAAACACTTATACTACTATAAAATATTAAGTTATTAACAAAAATATATCTAAAAAAGGTTTAAACACAATCAAAAATCTAAACTGACACTAACTAAAAATAGTAAAAAACATAAATCGCCATTTTGAATACTGAATTATCCAAATTTATCCCCAATTGTCCCCATTACCGGTTTTATCTCAAATCCGGGAAATCCGGCCGGAATTTTTGTCCAAATCCGGTAAATCCGGTTCCGGCCGGATTTGAAAATTCCAAATCCGGTGCACCCCTAATCGACACTCGAATAAAGTTATGATCATGACAACCTCATATATAGTATTTACAGTATATATAGTCAGTTTAAATTAATTTCGTGATAACATCGGCATAGAATCGCACACGTTTTTGAAAAAAAAATGCACAAGGTTATCCCAAGAAGCAGTGATATCACTCAGCTAAAATCACGCAGCTAAATTTAAAAAATCGGTGCACCATTCTGCTACCCGAAATCCGTTTCCATCCTTTGAAGTACTTTATAGTCGCTTTCATCAAGTTTATTGAGAAGATGAGGCAATTGTATGACACAGCCTCGGTCTTGAAATGCGCCACAGTAGTCCAGTAAATAACGCAGACACTTGAGATCATTGTCGTCCTTTTGACAAGGTTTAAAATAGCAAGGAGACTTCGTATTCTCGCGGTCAAAATCACAAGGGAGCTGGGAAGCAATGTAATCCCGCCTCAGATCTTGCTCTGATAGCTTGGCTTGCTTGAAATCTTTCTTGTATTTTTCATGATCCTCCTAGGGGAAATCAATTAGAATGGAAATTGCCTAGCTATAGTAAAGAATTAAAGTAAACGATTTTGCTATTTTTATTATTTGTATTTGTACAGGTAAGGGGGCGGTCGTTAATAATGGGAGGGGGGGGGGGG